TTTTTTTCTTTTTTTGATATTTCCCTTCAATTTTGTTTTAAATTATTTTTTCTCCCACATTGGTTGCCATTTATCTTTTCTGTTTTTCATCACCGTCTTTCCACGAACTTATTTTTTTTTTATCTCACCTTAAATCCTTCATCTCTTTTCATTTCCTTCATGCATATTTCTTCATCATTCCGGTTTTTTGGGGTTTTTTTTTTCCTTCATTTTCTTCTTCAATTATTTTGAAGATATTCTAAAAAGTGTCAGTCCTCAACTCGGTACCTTTCCAGAGATGATCTCAAAAACGATCTACTTTCTGTTTTTAACTGGAGCAAGGAATGAATTCTTTATTTTAACACCCACAAAATGAAACTGCTCTCTTTTAAACGTTTGTGAAAACTCTTTTTGTCTTCCATCATCAGTTTTGATGGCAACCTCCAGAAGAGTGATACAGTACGCCTTTTCGGAATAACGTTGTTCGCTGATATGAAGTGGAAAAACGATATCGAACCAATTGTCAGGTCTGCTGCTATAAAATTTGTTTCCCTGTGTCTGGCTTGACAATTTATTCTCGCCAGAATATACCTTACGTATTTATAAGTCTACCATTTTCCCTTTGTATACAGCTTCCACATCTGGTCGGCTTCTCTTACTATATATTTAGAGAATTTTTGATAAAATCCAAAGAATAATCTACAGTGTTATTTGTCCGGACCTGTCATCTCACCTTCAGTCATTTTACCACTGCATAATGAAGCTTCCACGTGCCTTTTCTATAAATATTTCATGGTAATTGTTCAGTTGATCTTTCCTCTATGGTATCCAGGTTTTAGGAATTTAAACACAGTACTAGATTGACTTGGATAAGTCTCATCATCTTACAGCTGAAATGTCTAGATGTAGATGTAAGTTCTATGTAAATAAGTTTCTTCAATTGCACTTCTAGCTTGTGGAAATCTCTTCCGACTTCTTGTTTCCCTGTCAAATTTGATGTTAAATAATTTAAATGTAGTGTCAATATTTATCTACTGTCTTCCTAATTCTTGTTGAGTGATGTTCCCTCTCCTTAATAGTGTTTTTCCTTATCATATTCTAGAATACTCACCAACCCATTGCGTCTTAGTGTCTTTATTGCCTTGATTGGAGTGAAATGATTAAAAAATTATTCCCAGTTTTATTAACTGCACATATCCGGTTTATATTTTTGGTTTTCGTTTTGAACTGATAATATTTTTACCATTAAATTTTCTTTTCTTTTCTCTCTACTTATTTTAAGGTAATTTACCTTCAGGAAATATTGTAAATAGGCAATATTATAAATATACAATATCATAAGTCGGAAATATCATAAGTAGGCAATATCATAAATTGTCTGAACCATAAGTGGGAAATACCATAAGTAGGCAATACCATATATTGGCAATATCATATATCGGCAATATCATAAGTATGAAATATCATATATAGGCAATATCATAAAAAATCAAAACCATAAATCAGCAATATCATAAGTAGGAAACATCATATATAGGCAATATCTTAAAACATCAATACTATAAGTTAGAAATATCATAAGTAGGAAATATCATATTTTGGCAATATCATAAATCGGCAATATCATAAGTAGGAAATATCATATATAGGCAATATCGTAGGTAGATAATATCCTAAATAGGCAATATCATAAGTAGGAAATATATGTAGACAATATCCTAAGTAGGCAATATCATAAGTAGCCAATATCATAGGTACACAATATCATAAGTAGACAATATCATAAGTAGACAATATCATATATAGGCAATATCATAAATCGTCAATACCATAAGTCGGAAATATCATAAGTAGGCAATATCATAAATCGTCAATAACATAAGTCGTATCTTCCTTCGTTACTATTTGTTAATTATCACAAATGATTTGGAAATATAGTGAAGAAGTTTGCTGTTATCTTCTCAACAGTTTTGAAGTAATTATTCTCTTACAAATACTGGCTCACAAGGATGAGGATTCTAGTTTTCCTTACCTTTGAAAACCTAATTGAGATGGAGTTATGCTTTTCGGAAAAGTATTTGCTCGAAAGTGAACGCAGCAGAATAGAACGTGATTTGAACTCTAGTCGCTGAATCCACTTTGCCGATAAGCATTACTACAAGCGCACATCCTTCTCTCGCTAGTATTACATATTCACTTGTAGTTTTTTTTTTTGCTCTGTTTTTCTCACATTTCAGCTATCTGTCTTCTGTCGCTTAAAATTCGCAACTATTTTTTTCCATCCGACTCTCTCACTCTGTCCTTTTTACTCAATTTTGCTTTTTTTTCTTTGTTTTTTTTTGCTCAACGAAGTTATTCCCCTTAGTCTTCTTTCTTCAACGTATCTTAAAAACAAAAGTCCTTTTACTTTCTACCCTTTCTCTTTTCCTTTGCCACTCTCTTTTTGCGCTCGTCTTCTCACTCATACACTCCTGTATTTCCTTTGTTTAAAACTCTTCCTTCTCTCTTCATAATCTACTGCTTCCCCATCCTTATTTTTACCCCTACTAATTTTTCACTCCTTTTCCTCCGCTCTTTATTCCCCGTTGCCAACAATCGCTGATGACGACGACGACTGTGGTGATAACAATAAAAGCAACATCATCGCTGATACGCGGCGCGGGTTACAAGTTCGATCTCTCCTCCTTCCTATATCTTTTACTCCTTACTTTGGTAACCCCACCACAGCCCCTGTCCTATACCGTGGTCCGGCCTCCTGTAACGAGCTTCCGCCTTGTTCCACACACTAATGGCGTAGACATGCTTGGTCCCCAGGGGACACGCTAAGCTCGGAAGAAAGGAAGGTAGGACTTCACGTCGCAATTTAGTCTGACCACTGCCGGAACACCGGCCTTAGCAAAACCCTTATCGTCAACGGGCATGGTCATGTGTCTTTGTATTATTCTACTTAATTTGAGATCTTTAGTCATTTTTTCTGCTTTTTATACGTACAATGTTTTAAAATGTCTTATTTGCAATAAGTGCGCGCACATGTACGTACACACTTGCGCCTGTTTGCGTCTACACGCATTGTCTTTATTTCCACTGTGTGTGCACGCATATATTCACTTGCAAATGTCCCCTAACACATATTGAGATCATTCTAGACACGCAAAGAAGAAATCACGCATTGCCGTACAAACGCACGGGCGCACACACACAGAGAAAATGTTGACGGCTGCTTCTTATAGATTCAAATGCACACAGTGTCGACTTGTGTTTCTACTCAGTTTGCGTATGAATAGATACTGCGATTCCTTACACGTGCACAAGCAAACAGTGTCCATTGCAATTATATGCAAAATAAATAATGCCAGACTGAGCAAGCATTTACAAAATTTACTGTTCATAATACACAGCTTTTTAGTCTTGGCAATTGGTATTCTTATCTTACAAATGCAGCCTTCATAGTTTTACTTAAAATGTAAGTGTTGTTACTGCTATTTAAAAATGCACTTACAAATTCGATCCGTGGGAAGGAATTAAGCGTGTACATGCTCAAATAAAACAATCACACTTATATACACACACAACTCAAAGCCCTCGTCCTGATTGGGAGCCCAGAGCAAAGCCTTGTGACCCTAGTTATCTTGTCAGCCTTTTCCTTTTTTCTACTTACATTTATATAAATTACTAAGTAAACTAAGATCAAATATTAAAAGAAAAATAAAATTTACAGATTTTGCCGTCATTCTGGGGTAATTTTTTTCGTATAAATCCGTGAAATGGTTTTGCTCTTGCAATTCTATAAAATTCAGTATCTTTTATTCCAAATATTGAATGTGTTTGTTAAATTATTCAACTTTTTAACAATAAAATATCTCATGTTGCTTTTAAAAATTGCCGCAAATATTCTTAATTTATTTATGATGGAACGATCTATTTCGATATATTGTATCTATTTTCAGTTTTTCTAGTTGAATTTTTCGCCTTTATTACATATGAACCAACATTGTGTATAATTAGGTTACAATAAAATCTGTATTTCATATGAATACTGTCGTAAAATTGAGATGTAGTAGAGTGGCGGTTCTGTATCCTAGATTCGGGGCCTTTATCAAGGATTCGGGGTGCACCCTAGTATAAATTCTGTGGGGGCTCACGATACCCATACACCGGTCCTGTATACACAGGCATATGCCAAACAATTAAAAATATATGCAAATATAGGGTGATACAAGTTGATATAAAATACAGAAAATAAACAAAGAAATCTCGGCGTTTCACAGACAGATTTTTTAAGCATGAAATCACATGAAATAATATGTGTAAGTGTTTTAAATACGCCTGCATACAGCGAATAGTTACGAAATTTTATCAAAGTGTATCGCCCGTAGACACAGAGAAATATATTATACTGATCTACTGCGCAATGCATCTCTTTAGGCAATTACAAACACACGTTCAAACACATAGATACGCACACGTTTGTGTGTGGATGTTATATTCGGACAATCTGTTCTTTAAGGTCTACTTACCTGACGGGTGCCAAATAAAAGGGATGACGTTGTAATAAACGGTG